TTTCATATAGATACCTAGAAACATATTAACACTGCTGATCTTTTTTCCTAAGATAACAGGTAATGCCAATGAAAAAAGTAGTATTCTTTACCAGAAATGAAAAATATTTTCAAAGGGACTTCCAATCCTATTCATTATTCTGTGGTATAGCTGTATGGACAATCTCTTCCTTATGTGGATATAGCTTGAAGGGCCATTTTCTGGAATATGAAAAATGGAAAATTATGCAAACTTTTACTTTGGACATAAGATAACTTTTTTGATATACATATTTAAAATACTTGGATCTCTAATAGCAAATTATAACACAACTTTCTGTGAGCTTGTGGCCTTTTAATTTTAGTATATGTGTGCTGGTTCTGGTGTTTTTGGGACAAATATGTTTTCTGTTTTTCCAAAGACAGCTTATGTTATGAATTCTCTTTTTATATGTAAGTTTCCCAGTACCTTTGAACACCTTGGTAGTCCTTTCCCATTCCAATTTATGCTGTATTCCCTTGGATATCAAGTGACCAGAACTGAAGACATAAGAAAGTAAAGTGGTGCTACAACTTCCAGTTCTCACTCTGTTTTTTCTTAAAAGCAGCTTAGCATCGTTTCTGCACTTGACAGCTTACACATTTTATGGCAATTATTTCATTAAGTTGTCACAATTTTAGTGGTTTAGGATAAACAGATGTGACCACAAGCTGGTTTTGGCCCATTACTTGTTAAGCCTATAGAATGCAGTTGTCACAGTTGGGATTAAATGATTTGTTTACTTTCCTTAATGGGAGAATGTACCAGAAGGTACCTGTGGATGCTTTGCAAGCTCTTACCTGTGGCTTGAAATATAATTGCATGGGTAATGAGGTCCCTAGTGAACAGTCAACCACTTTGAACTTTCCACAAACTACGACAACACTTAATATAGTTCAGCAGTATTTATCAGTTTCCTCTGCAAACCCAGTCTTCTTCGAAACATAGAACAGTGAATTAATTTTTTTTGGGGGGGGAACTATTTAAAAAATGATAATAGTATTTGGGGGGTTTAAATATATGGCAATATTCCTGTTAACCCAGGGAGGTGCACATTGGTTGCCTAAGACAATCATCTGTCACTTCTTGACTCGTCAAACAAATCGATGTGACATGTGAGTCTGTTTAGAAATCTAGAGCATACAGTTTTTCTTTGTGATTTCTATAGGTTTCTTTTCTCTACATCTCTTTTCTGTCTTTTTCATAACCTAATCTTCCTTTATTCTCTTCTACCCCATCCTTATCCACTGCGCCCAGGATCTAGAAACAGTTAGTGACATAACTAAAATGACTGAAAAGCTATAGACTACTGCTGTATGCAATTTGATGTGTCTGATAACCTAAATAATTATCTGGCTATTACAAGTACTGTTCTGTTTCTGTACTAATGTTTGCAGCTTAATGGAAAAAAATCTGAAGAAATAATTAGCAGATGACAGAACTCTAAGGCATTTCTTGGGAGTGATTGAAAAGAGTTTTATTGTTTTAGAGCAAAAAAATATAAATGCCTGAAGACAGGAAGGGTATGTTGTCTAGGCTTTTGAACATGTGTTCCAGATTTCACTAGATTTCATTGTGGCAGATAGTGGATCAAAAAGTGTTATAAATTCTGCATTTTGTTAAAATGTTCAGTTTGAGTGGTTAGGTCAGTAAGGACTCTTTTTATCAGCTACAATACCTACAGTCCCATAGATACTATAGGTATTGTAGCTGAAGTGCTTTGAGGTACTGCCTAAGGATAGTTGAGTGGCATTCTGCATATGGTATGCATTTATTTCTCAGGTGAATATAGTAGTATTTTTCTGTTTTCTTTTGCTACTGTACAAAACAGGACACAGAAAGATTGTTGAACATTTCAGTGATTACTTAAATTGCTGGGTTTGTAGCATGATGTAATTAAAATTCATTGAATAGTATTCATAAAATTGAACATTTCATATTAAGACTGCAGAAATTATAGTACCCTGTATTATTTCTCTGTATATGTGTATACAGTAAAATGTTTCCTCTGTTAGGAAGCAAGATGGGGAATCAGTCTTTTGGCAATAAGACTGTATGTCTGCTGCTCAGCTTAGTGTCTAATCTTCACGGTATGCTACTCTCTACTGTATTACATAGTTCTTCAGTGTGGTGGGTTGACCTTGGCTGGCCGCCAGGTGCTCTCCAAAGCCCCTTTTATAACTGCAACTGGACAGGGGGAGAGAAAATGTAATGAAAGGCTCATGAGTCAAGATAAGGTTGGGGGAGAGATCACTCACCAGTAATCATCAAAGAAAACCAGACTCAACTTGGGAAAATTGATTTGTTACCAATCAAATCACTGTAGGATAAGAAATAAACTCAAACCTTAAAACACCTTTTCCACACCCCTTCCTTCTTTCTGGTCTTAACTTTACTCCCCAGTTCTCTACCTTCTCCACTTCAGCAGTACAGGGGGACAGGGAATGGGGGTTCTGGTTGGTTCATCACACGTTTTCTCTGCTGCTCCTTCCTCCTCAGGGGAGAACTCCTCACACTCTTCCTCTGCTTCAATGTGGGGTTCCTCCCATGGGAGACAGTCCTCCATGAACTTCTCCAATGTGAGCCCCTTCTCAAGACTTCAGTTCTTCATAAAGTTCTCCAGTGCCGGTGCCTTCCACAGGGTGCAGCCCTTCAGGAACAGACTGCTCCAGTGCTGGCTCCTCTCCATGTGGCCACAGTTCCTGCCAGAAGCCTGCTCCAGGCTAGGCTTCCCATGGGATCACAGCCTCCTTTGGGCATCCCCCTGCTCTGGCATGGGGTCGTCCATGGGCTAAAGGTAGAGATCTACTCCCCCAGGGACCTCCATGGGCTGCAGGTGGAGATCTGCTCCTCCATGGACCTCCATGGGCTGTAGAGGCACAGCCTGCGTCACCATGGGCTGCACCATGGGTTGCAGCGGAATTGCTGCTCCAGCACTGGAGCACCTCCTCTCCTCCTTCAGCACTGGCCTTGGTGGCTGCAGAGCTGTTTCTCACACATATTGTCACTCCTCTCTCTGGCTGCAGTTGCTCCTCCACAGGAACTTTTTCCACTTCTTAACTATGTTATCCCAGAGGTGCTACCATGGTCACTGGTTTGGCCTTGACCAGTGGCAGGTCCATCCTGGAGCCAGCTGACATTGGCTCTACTGGACATGGGGGAAGCTTCTGGCAGCTTCTCACAGCAGCCACCCCTGTAGCTCCCTGCTACCAAAGCCTTGCCACATAAAAGTTCTGTTGAAATCTTGGGCATTTGATTTGATACTGAAATGTGTTTTCAACCTGGTGGTCAGTTCATTTTGTTTTGCCAATACAAAAATTACTGACTACATTGTTCTTCAGATGTGTTGTGGGTTGAGAGGAATGTCTCAGTATAGAAAGATTAAAAAAAAAAAAAAATCCCAAATTTTATTGGTATTGTGGTAACTTATGAAATGAAAATAAAAATTCTTCCTTTTCTCCAGCTGTAACAGTACTGCAAGGAAACATGACATAGTTAGAATATATACTTTGTCTTCTAGAATGCTTGATCTCTGCTTCAGACATCTGGTGTAGCATAATGAACAACAATTTAACAGGAATTTGTCTCAAGCACTTTTATCACATGAAGATAAAGTATGTGCGTGAGGAAACAGTAATAATGTGAAATTAATTTTTTTAATAATTTATTGTAGGAAGAAAAAATATTTGCATATATCTACCTTGAAAAAAAGAACTTGCTATGGAGAGATACCATCTTAAACAGGTCATTTGGATATATGGCCTTAAAGACCAAAGAAATATTCAAGTGGCAGTTGATTCTTAAATAACACCTTAGATTTTTATTGAATTTATTTTTTTTAAAGGAATGTGCATGAATTTATGGTCTTAAATTGAGTTGTGTTAATTATGTGAAATTGAAAGGGTTTTATCATGTGCCTCAACTTGTTTACTCTTTAGCGTCCAAGAATAATGACTGTGAACTCATAATCCTTTCACTCATCCCATCCTATAAAGGTCAAACTGATGCCTGCTCTTTTAGTGTCTGCTGCCAAATAGCTTATCATGCATTTGGATCTGAAATGGGGTTAAAGGTTTAGCATCAGACTTAGACAATGGTCTCCCTTACTACTTAACGTTTCAGATTTCATTTAGGGCCTGATTACACAGATGCCCTGAAGAATAATTTCTCCCACTCAACCTGTGCTGAAATGCAAAGGTCAAGTTCTCATTGTATGTGACAATAAAACTAGTCATTATTCTGTTTCTCAAATAGGATGAAGAGATTTCAGTTACAACAATGACGTAAGTAAATCTCAGAGAATATAACACTTTTCAAGGAGTTTAGCAAGTGTACTGACTCTAAAACTGAAGAACACTGAATCCAGGGACTTAATAACATTTGATGAATTTAATAACCTTTAAAAACAAAGCTGTTCACATGGATGTTTTAAAAACTGATAGCACAAGGAATGCAACTGTTCAGCCTGCCGCCTTGCCTGCCAAATCAGCTAGTGCTAACAGGAAAACATGAAAGTACTGAAAATTAATAGCTGCTAAAGATCAGATTCAGTTGAAAGGGACCTACAATGATCATCTAGTCCAGATGCATGATCACTTCAGGGTTGACCAAAAGCTAAAGCATCTTATTAAGGACATTGTCCAGATGCCTCTTAAACTGACAGACTCGGGACATCAGCCACATCTCTAGGAAGCCTGTTCCAGGGTTTGACCACCCTCAGTAAAGAAATGCTTCCCAATGTCCAGTCTAAACCTTCCTTGGTGCAGCTTTGAACCATTCCTACGTTTCTGCCGGGACCCCAGGCAGAAGAGCCCAGCAGCTCCCTCTCCTCCTTTCCCTCCTGAGGAAGCTGTAGAGAGCAATGAGGTCAGCCCTCAGCCTCCTTGTCTCCAAACTAGACAAGCCCCAAGACCCCAGCTGCTGCTTACAGGACATGTCCTCCAGCCCTTCCAACAGCTTTGCTGTTCTCCTCTGGAGGCATTCAAGGGCTTTCACATCCTTCTGGAATGGTGGGGCCCAGCACAGCACACAGTGCTCCAAGTGATGATATTTACCAGTTTACTAGAACTTTTTTATGAAGACAAAAAGACATGGTCTCTCTTTGCAGTAAGGGTGAAAGGACACAGGATGTTCAAGTGCCTTCTCCAAACTTTTCTTAATTTGTAGAGAGAGAAAACCTCTGACCAGAAAGGGCTGTGAATGATCTATGTCTAGACAGTGGATAGACTGTGACTTTAGAGGGGGATGAATTGGGCAGAAATGTGCCTTTAACCATGACTCACCTTACAGGCTATTGCTTCCTAAGAGCAGAGCAACAGAGAAGAGAGGATGAAAGCAAGACCCAGCATGGCTTTCCCTGTCACAGGCTTATAGAATTTGATTGTGGTCTGGGGATGACACTGACAGTTCTTAAAAAAAGCCCATTTCATGTTCTTAAGACAATTTCAGTTGGCATTTTGCAACCAACAATGTGACCTGCTCTGCTTCTTACTTTATTGCTTAATATTTCCCACCAGAAAGAAAACTCTTCCTCTAAAGTTTCTTGTGCCCTAGTTCACATCAGTTGTTTGAGAAAATGAATGCCACAACTGAAAGAACTGTTTTGTTTAGGGCTGGTTTTTTTTCTACCCAGTCAAATCCTATTCAGGTCTGGCTGAACTATCTGAAGTATTAAATTGCCAGAATTTTGTCTGAGAAGAAAGAAAAGGCAATGTGCTAAAATAGCTGCATGTATGAACTCAGCTGGGCTCACACTGCTCCTGCCAGGGACAGCTGCTGCTTCACTAAGAACTTCTGAGACTGCCGGAGGGCAGGAGAAGAAAGAACGGGGCTAAAGTCCAGCCCTGCACAGATCCATCACTACCACTGAACTTGTGGGGCTCCAAGGAAAGGTATAGAGGAGGTGATTTTATTTTTCCTGCTTCTCCCTTGACACTGAAACTTTAATTTCTTCCTGACAGCACTCTGCCTCTTGTTTCTCTCCCAGTGACTTGGTTGGGGTCTCACAAACTGATTGAACTTTTCCTGGCGTTAATATCACTCTGCATGGATCACCTGACTCATGGCACATCTGGGAATTTCACCAGGGAGGAAATGTGCTGGTTTAATCTTCCCCATTTTGTTTCATACCTGGTTCTATTTATAGGAGACCAAGATGCCAATATTTCTACTTTTCCCAGCTGGAAGCAATGAAAGAAAAGCCTGATGCTCCCATGTTAGGATAGGGAGAGAGATAATGGGAGGGTTCATTCTTCAGTACTCATTCTCCCTCCTTGAGAGCCATTGCTTGGCCCCAGTGATCCATCCATGCCAGAAGGCTACCAAGTCCCTGAGGTTGTCAGTAATGTCTTTAAAAGTTATCTGTATGCTTATATGCTTAAATGTTATATGTTATGTGTAGTCCACTGTATGGGCCAACAACTATCAGCTCTTTCCAACCACTGCTGAAGGTTTAGAGTAGCAGATACATTGCATATTGTTTTTCTCAGTATGAATCTAGGAAGCTACATACCTTTCCTCCTCCTAGAAAAGCCTCCCCTGCAAATCCTGCCCAAAAATATTAAACTTTTTCTGAAATCTAGTATTCAGAAGTTGGAAATGCCAGATTTTATAATTCTATAGCTGGTTTCTGACACAGTTGCTATCTTTCCTCAAAGGAATCCAAACTTTTGTACCTCTGGGACTGAATGCACTGATTTTGAGTGCAGATGCAGAGCTGTCATTTTAAAGATTCTAGTGCTTAGGTCTGCAGTGTAAACAAGTTCTTCCAATACAATCAGACTTTTCTGGGAACAACGAAATGGGAGCTTTGTAGGGCTTCCACAGCGGGTGCTTACTAGGTTTATTGACAGGGGCACGGGGTCTGCTTAGTGTTGAGCTTCAGTTATCTGGCATTGGTCTGAGTAAGGTTTATCATTATAAAGATCCTCAAATCTGAGGATCTTGGAGACAGTCTTCTAATTCCTGACCAGATGTTAGTAGTTACTAAGGAGAAAAGCAGCCCTTTCTTATGAAGGTTAGTTCTCTAGATCATGAAGTTTCTCTTCTATCTCTACGTCTGCATTTCTTAGCTTTGCGGGAAACAGTACATGCAAGTGAAAGCCTTTTTTAAACATGCTTGTCTCCTGTGATGTTCTCCCTTGGATTAAGCTTCCTGTGTTATCTGTGACAAGTCTAGAGGTTCTTCTACAGCTCTGTAGTTACTGAGACTCCTAATGATGTTCCCATATCTTCTGCTGTTTCTGGAATAATTCTGTTACCCTGAATGGACCAGTCAGTGTGGACTGATTTCCCTTGGCTTCAGCCTCTCATTAGTCTAAATGGGACAACTTTACAGGGGACCAGTGAGATTTAGCAATCTTTCGTCATTGCTGGTCTGGGATATAGGTAATACAACTTTGACAGCATAAAGTTGATTCCAGGTATGCAGGATGCTCAGTCATACAGCAGGAGTTTATATAACCTCACTGCCTCACAGGTAATTTATAAGCTGTAACTCACTGCAGTAAACAGTGATGGAGATGGGTACCTTGTAGTTTGAATCCTGGAATAAGATTTGAAAGACTGGATTCCATTCCAGCATCAGTGATCATGGAAAAAGTTGCTTAACATTGTGTCTTCCTTGGCATGTGTTAAACTGTGAGGAATTCTACACTCCCATATTTTTAATAAGTGTTATACAGAGTGGGTATTTTTCCTTTTTTTGTGTGTGTGAAATGAGTTCTAACGTTAGCCAAACACCTCAGGCTTTATTAAAAGAAAAATGATGCTAATAAAAAGCCTCCCTCTCTTTTTTTTTCTTTTTTCTTTTTTCTTTTTTTTTCATTTTTTCTTTTTTCTTTTTTCTTTTTCATTTTTGTGTATGTGTGTTGTATTTTGTTTTGGTGGTGGGCGTTGTCTTCTACTAAGCATCCTATATAACTTTCAAATCTGGGGTACGTGGCTGAATTAATTTTCAGTCTGACTCAGTGCAACTATTCTGTTTCAAAATCAATAACACATAGTTATTCTATCTACTGGAATAATAATATTTACTGAATATCAAGTTGGCTTAGAAGTTCTTTGGGATCTTGAAGCATCTCCATTCTGAGCATAATACAAGCGCAAGCATATAATAGAGCATAATTTTGTGCAGGCTTACATATTGAGGTGTTTAAGACTACAGCGAGGCTGTATAACACCCCCTCCATGCAGAACCGATTAGCTTTGAATATTGCTTTCATTACTTTCGTATTAATTTGTCAGTTAACTTTGCAGCTAGCTGGTTCAAGTGCATCTGAACGAGCAGTAGAGATGAATCCTTGGGTTTCTAAATGTTTACATGTACCTAGGACTTTTTTTTTTATTTCCAAAAGGTCTGCTATGCATACACTCTGTTTCTTCAGCTTGTTTTTTTTGTAGCCATATAATGTAACTTGAACTAGAGGTTGTTCTTGTTTACTGTAAGAAGGAGTTTCACATTCTTACACATACTGTTGTACTAAATCATTCTATAGTTACATGTTGGATGAGGTCCTTCTGCTTTTGACGTAGGATGTGTATTCATGGATCATGTGTTCCATTCCTTGCATATTTTCCATGTTTCCTTGAGCACAAAAGATTTCCTTCACGCAACTATCATACAAAGTAGAATTATCTTTTACAATCTGTTATTTGTTGGCTTTGCTGCTGTGTAAAATAAAATCAGCATCTGGAGACATGAACAAACTCTTTATCAAGCTATTGTATGCTTGTTTATACCTCAAGTCATTCAACAAACAGTGCTTGTTTCCAAATACTATTCTTCATGTAATGCTCACTAGCAGATTATACCTGCTGATTAATCAGACATGTAAACAGAGTTTCTCTGGTAGCCTGCCTGCAGATCTCTACTTCCATTGTTTATATCTACTATTCCCAACACTGTCCTACTGTGCAGAATTTCCCTGCTGTTTTTAGAACTGGGTATGATAGCCATATGCCTTTCTTTCCATGTAATCTCTGTGTGTGAGTTGCAAGGGGTGATTTTGTAGATGCTGCTAGTACAGTTAGTCCATATAGAGAAACTGGTAATAATCACCTCTATATGAACTCATGAATTGCAAGTAATCTCAGAAAAGCGAAGCACAAGTATGTTCATCAGGATCAAGTAAATCTGCAGATGTTTCAGCTCATCTATATCTGGTCATCTACAAGGCACTCTTGGAACGGCAGGAATAAAGGAAAGTGAAATCTAAGGGATGAGCAGCAGGATCCACAATGGGGTTGAAAGTGTCTTGAAAAAATTGAGATATATTAGAATGTAACAATATTGCACTCTCTTGTACAACCTAACAGCCACTGACAAGGCCCTTTTTTCACAGGTCTTAATTTAGCTAAAGAGAGATGAGGGAGGAAGTGCTCCTCATTAGCACTTCCCCTAGAGCCAGCTGCAACTGCCAAGCTGCCGCACACATACCTAGGCTGTACCTGCTTCTTCCAATCAGTTAAACTTTCAGTGTTTATTGTGCCCAGACACTTTCACGTATGAAAACGGGATTCCCCTTCAGACTGCCAGAAAGTCTAACCTCTGGGCAGATTAGTGTTGAAGTTCCTGTGTGATACGTTTTCCTTTAAGCTGTATGCTATAGTTTTAAAAAGTTTCCAGCTAACAGAAATATTTCAGATAGAGAGAAACCAGTTTTTAAAAAAGGTAACTGGCAGAGGAATGCATTAGTTTTAAGGCTGCTGACTTTATTAGTAGATGTCAAGTTGATACCAGTGCAGCAGACATAGAAACACAATAAATTAGGGAAGTCTGAAAGAGAGCCTAGTAGGGAAAGAATAAATTACATGCAGAAAACTCCTATTAAGGAGATGAATAATTTAACAAGGTAGAAAAAAATAGAGTCCTAAGTACTGGGATTAACTGTATTGCTTTACCTCAGAAATTCCAGTTATTCAGAGAGGCTTTTTTAAACTGCGGATTTTATTTCAGTAAATTATTTGATTTTAAATTTAACAGCAGTAAACTGGCAATGTGATATTATCCAGAGTCATACACTGAATAAGGGAATGTACCAATTTGCTATGGGACTGCAGTGGGGTTTTGTTTTGAAAGCCCACTGAATGTGGGTGTCAGGCTAAGTATATCTCCTGCACTGGTGAAAATGGTAGGAGCTAATGCTCTTTGTGATCTTGAGAAGAAAAAGCAGAGGCTGCCACTCTTACATGATGTAACTGAGAGTTGTGGTAGGTTTCTTTGTTGAGGTAACTAAAGCTAGCTCATTCACATTTTAATTGGGAAAGTCATAAAAAGAAGTAAAAGGTGTAAGAAGTATGTTTTTCACAGGGAGATGTGGGAAGTATTCTCCCTCCTAACAGCAGAGCCTGTCATAATCTCACTGGATGGTAAGGTGGAAAAGACTATGGAGCTGATTTTGGAGGAAAAGGCAGAATCCCACCTGAATTAGTCTGAAAAAAAACACCTTAGTGTGTATATATATTCATTTATCCCTTTCATTAGCAAATGTTCTTCTCTGGAGGAGGCTAATTCTCAATCATTGTGGAAAAAAAACAGCTGGTAATTGCTTTATTTTCCTTATGATATGGCAGCGAGAAGCTGAAATTGACATTTATAGAACTTTCTTTTTCAATTTGGAGACATGGCTTGCAATGCTACTGAACTCAAGTTCCAAGTCTGAGAAGCTATTGAATTTCCTTCCAGTGTTTGTCTAATAGAATATGGGCTGGTGACAAGGTTGCCAATGGATATAGGTAACTAAAGAATTTTCTGCATCCCATAGGTACAATTACAACATTTCAAACATTCTAGGTTAAGCTGTATAACATTGCAGCTTTTAAAATATATTTGAATAATTTATTTGTATGTATGTTATCACTTTCATTAGCCCCTTTGGTTAATAAATGCACT